AAAAAAAAAGACAAAAAAAATGTAGCCTCCGTGCAGGTCTAATGGCCTCCGGTGATATATTTGTTTAAAAATATTTTTTGGAATAATAAGAAGACAGTCTTTTCAGTAAAAAAATATTGTCTATTCTAACACCCGTGAATCCCTTGTCAAATCTAACTCAAAAGGCAAAGTACACTTTTTTTAGTTTAAATACCTCCATTTTTCACCAGATTTTTTTTTTCAATTCAACTCATCCATACTTCAAATATCCCATATAACAAACAATAAATTTCTCATATAATGGATGTCTCACGTAGTTTCTTCATACTCATCACCCCTTCCCTTAATCACAATGTTTGGCTAGTCAGTGCTTCTTTGACATTTTAATATATGTTTTATCCCATGCTTATGTTTTTATTATTTTTATATGTATATTTAATATAGATGCTTCCTACATCTTTCGTCAATGACTGGAGACAACAACTTGGTGATACAATACAAATAACTGCATATGATGGCATAATTGTCACCATCAAATTAGAAAGAGTCAATGGAAAAATATATCTAGTCGATGGATGGGAACAATTTTTCGACCATCATAATTTTCAGGATGGTTATATTCTAGTATTCGAATATAACGGTAATTCTACACTAAACATGACTGTATTTGACCATTCTGGGGTTATATACGACTCTGATGAAGAAAGCCAAGAAGGAAACACTTCAGATAATCCCATAATTGAAATAATACTAACACCTCGTCTTAACAGCCATCGGTAAATTGTAAGTTGCATCATTTATTTTTTAATAAACATAATTTTTGAGTTGAATTTTTTTCATCACTATAGTATATGCTAGGAAGTTTTGCCCGACAGCACTTGCCGAGATTTGTGCACAACATTTAGATCCATGATTCTCTGGCTCACAATTGGGACATTACCACAAATTTAAGACCAAGCGGCGTAATAAGATGTCTCACTATAGGTTAGGCTGATTTTGTTATGGAAAAACAACTACAAATGGACGATAGAGGC